ATCAATTAACTTTTTCAGTCTTGATTTACTTATTAGTAATAATTGAGGACTAAATTAAATAATCTCTGAGGGTACATTTCCTTAAAAATGATATAATATATTGATTTTGATGTGATATTAGGATGTGTTAGGATTAACTGTTTAGGGTAAAATACCTATTACCTATTTTGAGTAATGTATTATTTTCATAAGAGCTGTCTTTGGAGATTTTGGGTAGATGCCACATTTTTTGTTGGATAGTCAGTACCAAGAGATAGTCAACTCTCTTGAGATATAAAATTTTACTTTTGTTTGACTCAGGGTAATTAACATGGGTCTCTTATTTCAAATGTGATAGGAGAATAATAAATATCAGTTTTTTAATGTTTTCCTATCAAGTCATTCTACAAGCATTATCTCAGGGAGCGATAACCTTCCCCTTCCTTCTTTTCTTCCTTTCCTTTTTCATTCTCCTTCCTTTTTCCCTCCCTTCTTCCTTCCCCCTTTTTCTTCTTTCTCCCTCTCTCTCTGTCTCTCTCTCCCCTCTATCTCTTCCTGTCCTCCCCAGAGATGGTGTTATTATCCCAATTTTGCTACTGAAGAAACGGAAACTTGTAGAAAATAAAATACCTTCCCAGGTTAGGACCTAATCCCAGGCTTGCCTGGGTCCAAAACTTAAGCTTCTGATCTCTAAAATATTTTTGGATCAGATTATAAAGTTTTAAATGGGGAAAACATTGAAAGTATGATGCTTCAAATGTAGATCAGTTCTTTGAAAAAATTTTTTGGCAGTACTAGGGTTTGAACTAAAGGTTTCATGCTTTGCTAGGCAGGAGCTCTACTACTTGAGCCACACCTTTGATCCTAAACATGGTCAAATTAACTTTTCCAAGTTCACTCCCATATATTATAATCTTAGTCATGTATTAGCTTTCCAAAATTATTTGTAGTCTCTTTTTTAGAGTTCTTCAGTGTTGAGAAGTTTCTCTGTAGTTTTTCACTTTATTATTTTATTTAAGTTGATCTCATAATTTATGTATGATATATGGCCATTACAATCTATTACTCTGTCTATAATTTTAAGTTCTTAATTCAGAATAATAAGCATAGAAGTTTAAATTATAAACTGTGTGCATATCTGTTACTCTGAGAGAGGCATGTCATTTTGTGTTTTTACTTTTTTACTATAGAAAATTGAGCAACCTACATTGACCTATTCCTAATTAAAATATTTCATATTCTTTCATGTCTATTTTTGCATCTTCTCTGACATACTCTTGATATGTCTTTGGTAATGCCATTAACCTTGACTTTTTGTTCTGTACCTGTTGTATAACATCATCTTTTGGAGATTCATGACCAATTAGAATACTCTATATAAAATATCAGAAAGCAAAGAATAATATTTATAAAATATAATTTTTATCATAATATAATATTTAAAACAGCCATTATTATAATGCATGGCTATATTTGTGCATTATTACAGAATTAGGAAATTAACAACCAATTGCATTATCATATAATTAAAAAAAATAATTTTCTATTTTATTACTCAACAAATCTGAAATCACAATGTCAACAATATCAGAGGAACACTTAACAAGGTAGTAGACAAAACAATACCCTTTGTTTGAGGATTTAAATTCTCAAACAGTTAATAGTTTGTCTATAAATCTTTAAAAATGTTATATACAGTCATTGATTAAGAGCAACTTTTCCTTCTTTTATTTATTTATTTATTTATTTATTTTTATTCATATGTGCATACAATGTTTGGGTCATTTTTGCCCCCTCCCCCCACCCCCTCACTTACCACCCACCCCACCCCTTCTTCTCCCCCCCACCCCCTCGATACCCTGCAGAAACTATTTTGCCCTTATTTCTAATTTTGTTGAAGAGAGAGTATAAGCAATAATAGGAAGGAACAAGGGTTTTTGCTAGTTGAGATTAGGATAGCTATACAAGGCATTGACTCACATTGATTTCCTATACCTGTGTGTTATCTTCTAGGTTAATTCTTCTTGATCTAACCTTTTCTATAGTTCCTGGTCCCCTTCTCCTATTGGCCTCAGTTGCTTTTAAGGTATCTGCTTTAGTTTCTCTGCGTTGAGGGCAAAAAATGCTATCTAGTTTTTTAGGTGTCTTACCTATCTTCACATCTCCCTTGTGTGCTCTCGCTTTTATCTTGTGATCAAAATCCAATCCCCTTGTTGTGTTTGCCCTTGATCTAATGTCTGCATATGAGAGAGAACATATGATTTTTGGTCTTTTTGGCCAGGCTGACCTCACTCAGAATGATGTTCTCCAATTCCATCCATTTACCAGTGAATGATAACATTTCGTTCTTCTTCATGGCTGCATAAAATTCCATTGTGCATAGCTACCACATTTTCTTGATCCATTTGTCAGTGGTGGGGCATCTTGGCTGTTTCCATAACTTGGCTATTGTGAATAGTGCTGCAATAAACATGGATGTGCAGGTGCCTCTGGAGTAACCTGTGTCACAGTCTTTTGGGTATATCCCCAAGAGTGGTATTGCTGGATCAAATGGTAGATCAATGTTTAGCTTTTTAAGTAGCCTCCAAATTTTTTCCAGAGTGGTTGTACCAGTTTACATTCCCACCAACAGTGTAAGAGGGTTCCTTTTTCCCCGCATCCTCGCCAACACCTGTTGGTGGTGGTGTTGCTAATGATGGCTATTCTAACAGGGGGGGAGGTGGAATCTTAGTGTGGTTTTAATTTGCATTTCCTTTATTGCTAGAGATGGTGAGCATTTTTTCATGTGTTTTTTGGCCATTTGAATTTCTTCTTTTGAGAAAGTTCTGTTTAGTTCACTTGCCCATTTCTTTATTGGTTCATTAATCTTGGGAGAATTTAGTTTTTTAAGTTCCCTATATATTCTGGTTATCAGTCCTTTGTCTGATGTGTAGCTGGCAAATATTTTCTCCCACTCTGTGGGTGTTCTCTTCAGTTTAGAGACCATTTCTTTTGTTGAGCAGAAGCTTTTTAGTTTTATGAAGTCCCATTTATCTATGCTATCTCTTAGTTGCTGTGCTGCTGGGGTTTCACTGGGAAAATTCTTACCTATACCTACTAATTCCAGAGTATTTCCTACTCTTTCCTGTACCAACTTTAGAGTTTGTGGTCTGATATTTAGATTCTTGATCCATTTTGAGTTAATATTAGTATAGGGTGATATACATGGATCTAGTTTCAGTTTTTTGCAGACTGCTAACCAGTGCAACTTTTCCTTCTAAAACAATAATCATCATTGCTATGCCAATGTGGGTAAACACAATTTTCTTACAATAATAGTTTGTTCTGTAATGCACACTTTCTTTTTTTGTGATAGTGGGATTTAACTCAGGGCCTATACCTTGACCACTCTGCCTGCCCTTTTTCATGGTTTTTTTTTTTTTTTTTTTTTTTTTGAGATAGGGTCTCTGGAACTATTTGTCCTGGCTAGCTTCAAACCCAAGATCCTCCTGATCTCTGCCTCCTGAGTAGCTAGATTACAGCACCTGGCTGTAATCTGTGTCAACAATATATTTATGGTAAAATTAAGGCCAATGAGATCTAAGGACAAGTTAGCAAAGGAATTAATAATGCTTTCCTGTCCTCTTCAGAAAGTTTTTAAAAACCAGATGTTTCTCTCTTTGGATACTGAGGGAGTGAATGCTAGTATTGTTGCAACCATTCTGTCACCATGAAAAGTCAGTCTCAGAAGAAAAATGATCCCATACAAAATGAATAGAAACAAATTAATTCTGGATCCTGTGCTGAGAAGAACCTTCACTTAAGTGAGCAAATGAAGTCTACTTTTTTTTTCCTTTGGTGGTGGTACTAGGGTTTGAATTCAGAGCTTCATACTTTCTAGGCAGATGTTCGACCACTTCAGCCACCCCACCAGCAAGCTAATTACTAATTTATTGTTTTAACTAACCAAACAGACAAAATGTCTTTAGATTTTTCTTTCGGAACTACTTAAGATCCCAGTGAGTTATGTGACATTCAAGACTCTACTGTGCTATCATCTGATTACTACATTAAACTAAGCAATGCTATGGGACCTTAAGACCTGCCATAGTCTGCATCTTCCCTATTCTCCCCACACATTGTCAGCACTCACCCCCCACCCACAGGTCCAGATTCTTCACAATGTTGTTCCCCTCCCACATACATACCATGTTAATTTTTGCATCTGTTTTGGTTTGCCAAGCCTTTCCTTCACCTTCCAAGAACTGAAACTCTTCTCTAGACATAAGTTCTAGCAAAGTCTTTGACTCTTTGGTTCTGATGATACATTACTGAGCACTTGTCTCTAATGCTTCAGTTTTTCTCTGTAATTAGGTTGTTAGAACTTCAAGAGCAAGGAAAGGGATTTATTCCTCTTACAACCCTGTTAAAGCCTCAAGTACTATGTAGCAGAACCCATATTAAACAAGTACTTGCTTAATTAGTTAATCATGTGTTTACTATTTGTCTTATAAGATCTGTCTCATTTAGAAAAAGAGTTTAAGAAAAGACTCATTGGCTTAGGGTTACCACATGTACCAAATAAAAATACAGGATTCTTAGTTAAAGGTGAATAGAGTACAAATAACTGTACACATGTATGTAAGTAGAAAATGAGACCTGTTGAATTATTCCAGGAATGGGGGAAGCAGGCATAAAAGAGAATGATGGATGAGGTGAATTCAACTATGATATATTTGGTATATTGTAAGAACATCTGTAACCACAATGTACCCCCAACACGACCATAAAAAATAGATAGATAAATACATAAATAAGTAGCAAGGCATAATGCATAAATCAATTTTGTGGAGTTAAGTTTGTCATTAACATATTACATTGAATTATAAATGGAGTAGTATTAAAATGCAATGAGAATAGCAGGAGAAGTTAGGTCAATTCCAGTGATTTGTCAATTACCCAGATAGAAGGCCATCATTTAGCATCTCCGAAAATTACAAAATACTCATTTACAGTGTATGTTTTAGGTTGTCAAAAATTACCTTGGGTAGCTCTTCAATTTGATTGGCATCTAGATAAAGTTCCTCCAGTGTCCGCTCAAAGTTAAAGACCTCCTTTGGCACCTGCTGAAGGCTGCAGTGGGAGTAATCTAACACAGAGATGATTTCTTCTTCACCTCGGAAACATCGGCACGGCACCAGACGGCCGATGATTTTCCGTTTGGTGGTCATCTCCAGGCACTGCACTAGAGAGAAACAAAATAAAAAAATATAGATGCTTAATTGACTGCCTTCCAAAGGCATTCTTGCAAATCTTTAGTGCTTAGAAATGTAATATTAGTCTATATTTGATGATTGCATAATGCTGTACAGTTTACACAGGACATGCACATGCATTGTACGATTGAAACTTTCAACAGCCTTACAAGATCTGCAAGATAGGTTTTACTTTAATTTGGCAAATAAAAACAATGGGCTCTGAGGCTTCCCATCATCATGCAGCTTTGATGGCAGATTGGATCAGAATATAATCCTGAAGCACTTCAAAGCTGTTGTTTTGCTTATAATCTCACTTGAAGCATGGATCAATAATGTTTTTTAATATTATAAAAATTAAAGTGTAAAAAGGCAACTTCCAGAATTTTTTGTGAGAGACATTTCTCCCATTTCTGCAAAAATATTCAAATTTTATCCCAACAGTTTATGATGTTCTCTTCAACTCGCAAATTAGTTCCATCAGTGAACAGATATTTACTGCATAACTCAATGTTCTGGGCACTGATATAGACAGTGTATATAGTGATGACTAGGAACAGTCTCTGTCTCCATGAAGTGTACATTGTTCTGGAGATAGCAACAGATTAGATCTGGACTGGTTATTCACTTTGGAATGGTAGTCTATCTTTATGAATCCTATGATTTGGGTGGAAGAAAACAGAAAACAACCTATAATCATGGTAGAAATGTATGTGATGTCCTGAATATATCTTTTCCTATTCTTCTAGGTAAAAAGAACCACATTTTATGAAATCTTACAGACTTATATCATGGCACCTTCAACAGTACAATTATCTACTGTTTTTCATGTCATTTTCTCCTGCATTATAAACTCTTGAGGGCCAGCAGCGTGTTCTGTTTGTCTTTGTATTTGTCTTGATATCTAACATATAGTAGTTATTTATTAACAACTGTAGAATGAGAAAATGAATGTATGAATGAATGAAATCATACACTGAGACTTTCCTCCTGATCACTCACTATGAACTACTGGTAATTTACTTGAGAAACTTCTCATTTTAAGTGAAAAGTCATTATCTCTGTGAATGTGTCCCCAGGAAGAATGAATACATTGCTTTCTAATTGTGTGTGGTATTTCCGATGTATTAGGCAAATTCTTTAAGGAGATCTTGACTTAGTTATTCCTAAATTCATGGTGCCTACTACAGTTTGCCAACTATAGAAACAATATTGAATGAACATTAATTTTAAATATGTGTATAACTTTTTGTTTTTACTTAGAATATAAATTTGTGTTGAAATAGATTAGGAGTATTTTATTTAAAACAATAATACAGCATTTTTAAAAAAGTTGCTTAAAAGCTGTTGGATTTTCAGCCCAAATGCATTTTATTTCCCCCTTAACTTTTGAAGTTAATGAAAGGATGTTATGAGGACAGGTAAGTAAGTTCTTTGGTTATTTATACCTGATAATGTGTCGAAGATCAACTACAAATATTAGAAACATGACTTTTTTTCTCCATTGCCCCACTCTAACTTCCACCTTTATCATTGCTGGAAGTTATATGATTTTGTAACTATTGGTTTACCTGAACTTACAAAATTCCTGATCGTGGCAGTGATGCCGTCATGTCTCTACCGAGGGTCTACCACATGATAAGCATCTCATAAATGCCTTTAGTAAATATGCAATATGTGTTAGGCACTTAGCAAATGTGTGTTGAGGTTTTTGCAGGTGTAAAAGTAAGTGATGATAGCGTAGTTTATGGTGACAGCAGTGAGAATGAAGAGAAGTAATGAACTCAGAAGAAGATTAAGGAGCCAAATCCATAGATTTGATCACATAATAAATGGGAGGTGGACAGGGGGACTGTAAGGGAGAAAGAAATGTCTTGAAATATTCCCAGGCTTTTCATTTGAGAAAGCAGTACCCACATCGACCTTCCAGGAGTGATGCCATAGAGCTGACCCAAGATATATCTGTTATCTGTCTCTATGACTCAGAGATGAGTGATTAATCAATTACTCATGCTTTTTGCTGTCCAAAGTCTCTCACTCATCCTTTTGTGTTGGACCATATGGCTATTTCTTTTGATCTATTTGTTGTTGTCACTGAACTTTTTTTTTTATTAAAAACAAAGTGGAAAAAGAGAATACTCAGGTCTGCAACTGAACCACTTGGCCAGGGTCCTTTGAATGTTTGAAATTTAATTCACTTAGGACTATTTTCTTTTTTCATGAACTCAAATACAAGCTCTTGTAGTTATCTTCTCTTTTTCTTCTCTATTCTCTACAATGTGCTGAATTATTCCCTAGTCCTAATTTCTTTCTCTTCTATTCCCTCTGAACTTTAGAGTGTGACTTACATCATCATCATCTTCTTTCCTGAGACTCAATCCTTTCACTGGATGCTCCCCTTCCATCTTCATTAACTAACTAAAACTTGGCTCTTCCTGAGGTTCTCATTTATCTTACAGCTTAAAAAATGGAGCATGTTGACTTTCTCACATGGCATGCTGATTAATCCTCTTCTGAGTTAAGAGAACTGATTTTTCTTCCCCCATTCCTTTAAAAACTACTACTCCTCTTTCATCCTGTAAAACTCATGTTTCATTGATGGTTCTATTACTCAGTGGTAACATCTTTCTCTTCTTTTTCATACCACTCATTTACCAGTCTCTATAAAAATCACCTTTTCATTGTTTGATTACTTTGGTGTCTGGTTCATAAGCTCTCTCAATCATGGCTCCATCCACTCTTGATTTATAAAATAACTTTCAAACTTTTAGAGCTCTACCCCCATAAATTCCTACATAACTTGATTGTAGTACTATGTTTTGATTTCTGAGTTATAAGTTTCTAGTATATAACAAGGTGAGAGAGAGGATGTTGTGTTTCTTCTAATAAATCCTCACATACTTCTAACCAACCAAAGTACATGCATAATTATTGTGTGCTAAATTAGTAGTATCTATTTAATTATGACTGTGTATCAGTGTAATTAGATCTTTTTGTTTCCTTGAAATTAAAAATTGTCTTTTTATTGTTATTTTTGCTAGATTTTCTATGCACCTAATCAGTTTCAGACTCTCCTTCTGATGTGGTCAAACATGTGTCATCTGCTCCCCCCTCCAAATTCTTTGAGAACCCTGCATCTTTCTGCTCCAGCCTGGCTGGAATGATTCCTTTTCCAGACCCACATATATATAGCTTACTACAAGAATTTCTCTTCACTATCACCCTGTGAATTTTGCACTTCTGTCTTGTGTTATATATCTTTCATTTTCTGGATTCCATGCCTTTTTCTTCCAAGATTTATTCTTTCATTTGGACAGAATATAACATCCATTTACTTGCTGAGAAAGGATTTATAGCAGGTACCATTTTTGAGAACTTGCATGTCTGAAAATAGCTTTACTTTATCCCCATATAATTGAAAGTTCATCTGGGTATGGACTTCTGGGTCAGAAACACTTTTTCTTTATAAACTTGAAAGCACTTTCTATTTATATGATTTTCTAGTTTGTAAACTCAGTTATATTCCTGTTCAAGATCCTCTTTCACACCCAACTTCTGCTCCAATGGAAATTGTTAGAATTTTATTTTATCCTCAATCCTTAAAATTCATGGCAATGTGGTTTGGTGTGTATGTTTTAATTTGTTGTACTTGAGGGGCTCTTTCACTCTGGAAGCACTTCTCTTGCAATTCTTTGAAATTTTGTCATTATCTAATGGATAATTTCCTCCTTTAAAAAATTTTCTCTTTCCTACAATTCCTAATTAGCTGCCTATAAGAACTATTTCCTATATTTATTTTGTAATTCAGTCATTTATTGTAATTTCCATGTCATTGTGGTTTGATTCCATTTTCCAGTAAATATTCTCAAATTTATTTTCTAAATATATGTAGTGAATTATCTTTAATTTGAAAGCATAATTTTGCTTCTTAAATTTACATATTTTTTCCTGAATATTCTTTTTACATATATCCTATTTGTGTTTTAGGATGTCATGTTATTTCATTTCTTTCAAAAGATATTAACAATAGATTCCTTTGTCTTTTTCTTCCTGCTTCCTGTATCGTTTCTGTGTTATATTTTCTTTTTGACCCTTTTAATGATCATCTCTCAACATAGAGGCTGTCCATGAATATCTGGTGATCCATGGCTGTGCTCCATTATTGAGGAGTGAATCTCTGAAAAGCTAATTGGAATCTTTGTGTGTTTTAACAGCCTTCATTGATCTGGCAGCAAGCCACAGAATGTTCTACAGAAGAATATTCTGGTCTCTAGAGCTATGCTATTTTGTATATAAGATTTTCAATCAATTTTCATATTTGCAGCACTGACTTTCTTCAGTTCCTTGCATGGGGCTTGGCATCTCCAATATTCTAAGGAAATCTGTGAGGCAAATCAATTCATATCCCTTTGTGGGTACTTTATAATGTAGTTAATCACATAGCTTGCAATGTGGATACATTTAACCTACATCTTCTTTCCCTGTCTTTTGAAAAATATGTTGAAGTCTCTTATCTGCTGATGTCTTTTCTGCTTTCTCTATCCTTGAAAGGAAGTATATATTTTTTAAACTGCTTTTAGTTTATTGAGGGTCTTGGTTATAAGAACAGATAACTCAGGGAAGTGTAAGAGTAGCTTCCATGATTAAAGGAAGGTTTCTCTTAATCCCTTTCATTCTTTTAACCCCTCCTTAGTCCACATAGTAGCAAGTAGTTCTGAGCACAGACTTAAACTTCTTTTGAAAATACTCTTGTCTTTTGACTCCCCTGACTCACACCCTTTTGGCATTAATCTTTTCACATAGGCTTCTCCCTTTCAATCTTTAAGAAGCTGTCTTTTTCTCTATAGACACTGATATTTATAGTGTTAGTTTTCCCTTGGCCTATTGCCCTTCTAATTGTTTGCTATTTTCTTTTACAATCCTGTTCACCTTTCTAGTTCCCACTTCATTTAACATAAGTTAAGTGATAAATGGACGGATATAAAATTTT